ATGTGTGGAGTAAAAGGACAAAAAATTATGCCATTCATGTGTGGAGTAAAAGGACAAAAACTATGCCATTCATGTGTGGAGTAAAAGGACAAAAAACTATGCCATTCATGTGTGGAGTAAAAGGACAAAAAATTATGCCATTCATGTGTGGAGTAAAAGGACAAAAAACTATGCCATTCATGTGTGGAGTAAAAGGACAAAAAACTATGCCATTCATGTGCTATATTTTACACAACTAGAAGCTCTTCACGTTGATTTGAAAATTTACATTTGACATTTTCAGGTTTTATAGTTTATACAATGAGCCGTTGTTGATGAAAAGTCATTGTTGTGACACAATCTATTAACAAGCTCTTGAATCTTGGTTTAGGCCAAGAGTGGCGAGATGGGATAAAATTTAATGGTTTTTAGACCAACATCGACTTTATCACATCTTTATCTGCCTTTGTATTTAAATTATTATATTTTAAAACGTGTACTTCTATTTGTATACTTCCTGTGTTTATGATGAACAGGTATTATGACTCATAAAAATCTACTTGGCAGCCAATTTTCTTTTAATAATCCCCCGCTCTTAGTCAGCTCGAAGTTTACGGTCTCACATTACTAAACACCAGAGTACGATTCTCCGCGGTGGACGACGAGTGGATAACATATTTTGTTGTTTAGTGATACAAAAAACACAATAACATAATACGTTTTGTCTGTCTATCGTTTCTTCGGAGTGCATAAATGTTAATTTAAAAAGGAGGAATGTGGTTCGTCAAAAAGTACAGAAGCAAGACAGATAGCTTAAAGATGAAAATGTAATCGCAAAAACAGTAGACAACGAAGCTTGAGGTTTGAGACATGGTGTTGACATTATTTCCACAAGCTGCAAATCCCTATTTTGGCTCTACTAAGTATTACAGCTTTTAGACATGGAGTCATAGTGTTGAGATTATTTCCTCAAGCTACAAATACCTATTTTGACTCCATATCTAAAAGCTGTAATATTTAGGAAAGTCAAAATTAATTATATTAATACAACGATAATCTTTTCGTATTATTAGATATCTACGGTATTTATGCAGCTTGTAAAATTTGTTAATGGTTTGAATTTCGCGCAAACTATTCACACCAGACAGTTAAACATCTCACTTTGATCAGTCGGTGTTTCCAACTTTGGGCTCATCATCGAGGCCAGAGAATGACCATCACCTCCTTTATCTTCAGTAGAAGATGATTTACGGGAAGTGTTTACGACAATGGTCGTCGCACGAGACCCAGAAGAACTCGGTGATGGTGGATCTTGAGCTGTAAAAATATAATCATAAGCGTGTTATCACAATGTGAATGTTATATTAAAATCATTAACAAATTGGCGTTGCATGGCCAGGTGGTTAAGGTGTTTGACTCGCAAGCTGAGGGTCGCGGGTTCGAGTCCCCGTCCCACCAAACATGCTCGCCCTTTCAGCCGTGGAGGCGTTATAATGTGACGATTAATCCCTTTATTCGTTGTTAAAAGAGTAGGCCAAGAGTTGGCAGCGGGTGATGATGACTAGCTGCCTTCCCTCTAGTCTTTCACTGCTAACTTAGGGACGGCAAACGCAGATAGCCCTCGTGTATCTAAACGCTCTGAAAATAAGTGTGAACACTTATCACGTGTTATTTAACAAATACATAATCCTTGTAATTTTTATTTCATTCTTTTTCTTTCTTTTTTTTTTTTGTTGTTGTTGTTGAACAAAGCCAGATTTGGCTATCTGTTGTGTCCACTGCGGGAAATCGAGCTTCGGTTTTTAATGTCATTAGTCAGTCGACGTACTGCTGTCCCAGCAGGGGGACTTGCTTCTGTCTCGTGTCCATTCATTTGTTAGTGATAGAGAGAGTTTCAATTTTCCGTGATAGGGGTGATACGTTTAGTGATACGTGGTGGCGTAAACAATACAAGTAAATGTATGATAAACAATTTTTTTCAGAATTTACACTTTCAGGATTATTGTTGTGATTAAAATTGTATATGCAAGACATAATTATCGAGCTTACTTACTAACTGTTACCTAAATGAGTAACATCTTAACATTTTTCGCGTGTGACTTTAAACGAAAATATTTATTTTCTCAGTTTAGGTATAGTTTTCAGAGGATGAAGAAATGAAAAAATGGTACTGAAAACATCTGCCAGCTAAGCATTGTTGTGGATTTCAATCATGTCTCATCTTCAGTGTCTCTCTCTGTTTCAGGAAAACCCTAATATTACAAAACATACACTGATCCACAGGATGGACGGGACGTTTTAATAATAACATATTTTATTTTTATGGAATTGTGCGTGTAATATATTATATGACCGTTTTGTGTACAGATTATACACTTGCTTGTATAAAAAATAAAATTCCCCGTTTCTTCTGGTCTCCTAAAGATGGTGGAATTTCTAGCCGCGGCATAATGGCTCATAGAATGGCTCTGAGTTGTTGTTGTTGTTTTCAAGTACAAAGTTAGCTCATAGCTCCACCTCTTGACCGAATTGATATCTAATTACAGCCGCGGCTATTGAGGATTCCCTCTTGTTTCCAACCAAACATGTGGAACTTTAATTGCATATTTTGCTTTTAACTTTATACAATAAATTATTGGGCATAATTAAACGTGGAACTTCTTACTTATTTTATGAAATTGTGCGTTTGTTTTAACTTTGCGCATTATAAAAAGATATTTTTTTTTATTTTACAGTTTGTTTGTTTTTTCCTGCGTCAGGCTTGTATTCCACTTTTTTTTTTTCTTTGCGGTTCAGGATGTAACTTTTTTTAGGAACTAGCACTGATTTTTCTCGGAAATATAAGAGAATAAATAACAGGAGCAACGTTGCGGAAAACAGCCTGCGTTCGAGATAGGTGCGTTAGATTAGAGCAAGCGCGGTCACTGAAGTCGGGAAGAATACAGTCGAAGGTTAAATATAGCAGATATCTCCCGAGCCCGTAAACTTTCAGCCATAAACCAGTGACTTATTCTCAACTACCTGGCTGTCGCTGGCAGCCTTGGATTTTCCACGTACAAGTTATAGAGGAAATATAACTTTCATATAACTATATACGTTAGATTATTGTGTCCCTCGGCGCTTGTCAAACTCTACAGTTATTTAACGTTTTTAGTTGTTCTCTGAACTTTTTTTCTCTTTCCAACAACGTTGAGAAGTTGAAAAAAGAAGTTTGTAAACATACCTCCACCCAAGAAGGCTGTTTATTATAATAACTACAGAAAGACAACCGTTGCGTTGAGCAAGGTTAATAAAGTCTGTCTCATTCCAAATAAATAATTTAATCGGTACCTTTCGCTCAGAGACAAGGAACATCATTTCGGTTCTTCTTCCGGGAAAACAACAGCTCATTGGTCGATCTCTCTACTTGTCTGGATATTTCCTGTATTTTAACATGTCTGTTTCAGGTAATTTCTCGGGAGTCCCTACTGGTCCTACGTTTAAAGCTACAGGTCCAAAAGTTGGTAAGCATAAGTTATTAAATATATGTATCTCTTGGGTTTAATAATTATATTTATATTTAAGATCCAAAATCAGCTACTCTGATTTCTTACGTCTACCTAATCACTGTAGAGACAACTGTTTATTTTGTCCACTGCGGGGAATCGAACCCCGAATTTTAGAGTTGTAAGTTCGTACTTACCGCTGACCCACGAGGAGACATGTAAATGACTATTTACCTCTGAATTGACAGTTATATAAGTGATACGTAATTCCTACTGACCATTTATAACGCGTGCTCAGTTCTGTAACGTGAAGAACAGGTGAAAAACATGGTAAATCAAATATACCCAAGCACCACCTATATTCTTAGTGTAATTTCATCAGATCATCTTGTTTCTTATTTTGATAAGTATTGTATTTAAAGAATATAAAACAAGTTTGATCAGCTCAGATAATTTTAGTAAATATGCACAGGTAAATCATTAATATTAAAGGCAGTTATAAGGGGTTGAAGAGTTTAGACTTAACTGTATTACATAGCACATTGTTGTTTGAACTTTAACCTTGTGGAAGAGATGAAAATGTTTTACTGTATATGCACGTTATTATACCGTATACTATCCTTTGTGACCACTTTCTTTAAAGTGACAGTAAGGTAACCTTTCGTGGTTTAATTATACATTGATGATTTATCTATGAACAAAGTAGTTTTCTTAAGTCAATTTCAGAGGTAAGATCATCTTAACAAAATTCAAAATCATCACATTATATCTTCATTCTCTTCTTATATACTAAAACAATTGTGTTATACAGAATATCCAAGTCCGTAGGAGACCCCTGCATCTTTTAACGTTTCTTTGTATTGCAATTTGTACATCGAATAATTCTTAAAAACTGACTCTTATCAGTAAACTCCTGAGCTTTTTTTGGCTCGATTAAATTTTATTCCTTCATCAGACAGAAAGTTTATCTACATAACTCTGTAGTCATTCAAAGATATGCGAATTTAAAATACGTTTGTTCTAATTATAATATCGGCTTTTAAAAACCTATGCGCTACCAAGAATGTTTTAGAAGAAAAGAAATATTTTGTTCTACCTTGAGAACATTGTTTTCAGCCTCTTCTTGTTTGTTTGTTTTTATATGAAAATACTTTGATTTTCGTTTTATTTATCATGTCAGCATTTTTCAATCAGCCCATTATAATAAGTATTGTTTAGAATGTCCGATATCATAATTACCAGTATCTCAATATAATTCATTAAACTATAGAAGCAAGAGATATAAATGTTAACAAGCGATTCTGTATAAACCTAGAATATACTGAAAAACTATCATAGATCTAACAAGAGTTACCTGAAAACAGACCATAAATTTTTGAAATCTCACGTATTGAGTAAAAAGCAGAAAAACAATACATTTTCACCTTTTAAGTGACCTGTTTTTTGCAGTTTCTCTAAAACAAAACTGGTGGCCACGTTGTAGTCAAAAATGAGAAAGAAAGTCTGCTTCTTTAAGATTTCTTTCTTTTAATCAGTTCTTAACTTAGCATCTGCTATGTAATTTTTAATGCGTGTATTTGCCTCTATGTGGCGTACGCATAAGTTCAATTTGTGTGTGACAACTTTTATTTTTAGCCGAGTCATAGCGGCTTATAGAATGGCTCTTTCTTTTCCTAGTACAAACTTTTAGCCCATAGCTCCGTCATCTCTATGCCGATTTGATATCTAACTACAGTTTTGGACTCAGGAGGTCAAACCATTTCGATTGGTGTATTTGATCACGCCCAAGGTCTCATAGATTAATTTACTCTAATCCTGCCTGAAAAAATTTCAATCTACTTGCTCTCCAGAGTACTTCAGGACGAAGAAAGCCAAGACCTCACTCCAGGATTAGCCCCCCAGTGGCACAGCGGTATGGCTGCAGACTTACAACGCTAGAAACCGGGTTTCGATACCCGTGGTGGGCAGAACACAGAGAGCCCATTGTGTAGCTTTGTGCTTAACTTCAAACAAACTCCAGGGTTAATTTCTATACATTTACTTATTCCAAGACAATGTCACGACATTGGTACTTATTCCCCCCCCCTTGTGTATCAGCGGTAAATTTTTAGCGTTACCTTATAACGCTAAAAATTGTCACTCGATATTCGCGATTGACAAAGCACAGATAACCAATTGCCTAAAAGAATTTCAATTTGCTGGTAGGGATCCTGATGGGTAATAAAATCAAATCGGGTATACGCGACCCCATGCTTGGTGTTGTTGGAACATAAAATATAGCTAATAAAAGGGGGGGGGAATTCATAGATTAATTTACTCTAATCCTGCCTAAACGAATTTCAAATGCCGCGGCTATTGAGGATTCCCTCTTGTTCTTGTATTTAAAAAACATACTGTACAAAATTGAATTGTATTTAAGGATGATTCTACATCGAGAAATTGATAGCCAATCAAAGAACAAACTTTTATGTTTTAAATAAACAAATAATAGTTAAATTCTGTCAAAAAATAACAAGCATTATATGGGCAAACTTTTTTAAGAGTCAGAAGCAACATTTTTTTTCCCCACTGTTTATAAGCAACAAAGGAATTCCATTTCTGTGTTGCTTGTTTGTTTGTTGTTGTTTTTTTTATAAATTTCCCCCCGACCATAATAAAGACTAGGGTTTGTGTATTTTAAGAATTAAACACGTGTCAGGCTATATTTGGTTTGGTACAGGTTAGAGAACCCGAAACTCTTCCCTCTTCCGTTTACTATAAAGGGAAAGATAACATTTTATTTGAAAAAAGAAGCAATTCACTTATTATAGCATTCAGAAACAGTTCATATATATATAATGACCTTTTACTAGACTTAAAACTGCGCGCAAGTTTGTACTACAATTATATACGTGTATGATGACTATTCAGAGTATTTTTATACATCATTCTCACTCAAATGGCTTATATTTTAAACTATTCGTCTTAAATAAATCGTCGCTTAATAACAGTCCTTTATTGCATGCTCCCACGTGTAGTTTTTTTTTCTCTTTTTTGTTTGTTGTTAAGCACAAAGCTACACACACAATGGGATATCTGTACTGTGCTCCGCGGGTTTCGAAACCCGGTTTTCAGCGTTATAACTCTGAAGACTTATAGCTGAGCCACTGCGAAACTTTTTATTTTCAATATGAATCTGCTTTTACGTAAAACACTCTCATGCATTAATAGTTGGTACTGTAACAGAAAGTCCGCACCAATTATATTTCACCATTTAATGACTTTAAATGATTGGTTTGGTTGGAAGATCGCGCAAAGCTACTCGAGCACTATTTGCGCTAGCCGTCCTTAATTTAGCAGTTATATAGTAGAAGAAATGTACCCAGTCAACACCGCCCATTGCCAACTCTTGGGCTACTCTTTTACCAACGAATAGTGGGATTCACCAACACATTACAACGCCCGCACGGCTGAAAGGGCGAGAATGTTCAGTAATTGGGAATCAAACTCTATCCGCCAATCTATGCCAAACCGATTTTAGGTGAATAGTGTTATTGTTTTGCTGGAGTGAAAGCTCGGACTGATAGAGCTGTAAATTAACACCACTTACGCATGCCCCCCCCCCCCCAGTGGTATGTCTGCGGACGTACAATGCTAGAAACTGGGTTTCGATACCCGTGGTGGGAAGAGTACAGATAGCCCTTTGTGTAGTAGCTGTGTGCTTAACTACAACAATTACAATTGCTTATGCATCGCTGTAATATCGGGATCGTTCTATATACTGGCTGTGAAGTGGTTTTTGCGTATTCAGATAAACAGCAAAATGCATTAAGTATGGTACTCAACTATGGAATGTAGATGAAAATATGAATCTTCCATTTGTGTTTTTAATGTAGCTATATATATATATATATATATATA